TTGAAATAAAGTTCTTGATCCTATTTTAATTTTCAATTCTCTTATACTTGGGGAAACAATGTACGTCCACCGGGACTATTTTTGAGAGCTTAATAAATGGGTCAATTGGGAGCGATTGAATGGGTGCAATCGAATTAGCACGTAACAATTATCGCGCCACGCCCACGTAACTCGTTGAGAAATTCTCCCGGGAAGTAATCATCCTCATTCTTATTCCCTACTTTATTCTTTACCCATTCTTTCATTATTTCGCTTTTTTTCTATTCAACTTCAACTTGGTCACATCACTGAATACTTTATGATTGATCAAAAAAAAAAAAAAACACTAGAAGAAAGACAGAAGACGTATTATTTTTTTAATCTGTGAATTTATATCAAATAAAACCAGGTCATCTGTACAAGAAAAATTTTAATCAAACTATTTACAAACTCGGATTTTTTTAAAGACAATTTTATCTTAATTATCTCACATCACAATTGCTCTGTTTATTTTATATTATAAGGTAAAAGCCATTTATATATCTATATTTGTGAATATAGATATACAAATACATAAAGTGATCATATACTGGTACATGATTATCTATTGGGGCTTTTACCTTATATAAAAAAATTAATTAATTAGTTTTAATTAGACAAATTACTGAATCACAAACTCGAAAAAAAAACTTAATATAAAAAATAGCGCGTGTATTAAATTAAGATGAAGAAATTTAAGTAAATTACTTTTTGTACATAAATAAATTTTCAGCTAACCTTAAGATCACCCTTACACGCTGGTAAAAGTAATACGTGGTTTAGCGAGTCATAAACCGCCCTTTAAATCAAGCCACAATCCCTTAACGCTGAGATGAATTTCATTTCACTCGTCGTGAACTCAAGTTAATGAAGCCAAACTAACGAGTATCATCTCAACTGTGAAATTACTTTAGTCTACTAAAGGGTAAAACTAAAAAAGTGTAAATTTTAAAACTTTAGAAATAATTTTATTTTATTTTTTTTTTTTTTAATCACACTTTGGTAAAAAATGAACAAAAATAGAAAAATTGTAAAAGTATGAAGATATACTGAAGGACTACGTGCGGCGCAGGATTAAGATGAAATCAAAAGCGTTGAGTAATGTCGAAGGTTTCCTAAACTCATGTAAATATAGAGGATATGGAGATACGATATGATCAATATAGATATCCATGACGTTACTTAGCTATGAGTAGTGCTACATTGGCTCGATCATACGCGCATTATTGGTTAACGAGGCATTAGCCGAGTCTCGCCACCACGGTGGCTGGAATTGGGCGACATTTGGCTTCCGTACGTCAATTGACATAGCGAGTTAACCCTGCTTTGTGTCGGTTACTGTTTGGACTCGTGGCAATGGCGCCGTCCACATTTCATTGGGTTTATCTATATCTCTCTTACTCTCATCTCTGTAGATCCATATCCGATCCTCATCATTGCTCAATATATACATACTCCCTCTGTCTGTCTCTCTACTCTGTACTCACAACATTCCAGTTATGTGTACAATTCGGATTCTGCTCATGTCCCTACAGAATATAGATGAAAGCTCTGCAGTCTCTGGATGCCGTTGACATTTGCCCTTTGATCCACAACCAACACTATCATGCATAATGCACCGGCTTACAATTAGACAATTACTCATTTATCTTTCAACAGAATCAAAGCTCTATAATACTTTACACAGTTTACTTTGCAACTCAGACAATGTTTTTCTATTTTAAATTCAACAAGACAATTGACCTTGTTTTTTCTCTTTCCGTTTTATTTCACTTTTTTTAGAATCGTCAGGTGGACTAATTTGGCAAACTATTTTCGAAGTTTAAAAGACATCATTTGTGAGCTCACGTACCCGAATTAAGTTTTACTTTTTGCGGTTCAAATTATAGATAATGCAATGGTAGAAAAATGCCCGTGGCACAGTATGATTACATAAAAAATTTTGTTACACGGAAAAAAGTAAACTGTAATATTCACTCGGATTCCGGTTAATTTTTATAAGTTTCAAACAGTAAAGCGGACATCAGGGTGGCAAAAATATAAATATTACAGAACTTAATGTAGAAAGTATAGAAGCCACAATTTATAATTTAATATACAAAATAAGTGATTAGTAAATGTCACTATACTAAATAACGACTCTTTCATCTTAAAAAATTACAGTTTCAAAAAGTAAAAATTGCCATTTCAATATATAGTCCATATTATGAGGAGAAGGGGAACTCAGATGAAAGAGAAGGGGGTCTCACGATGGGAGAATTTAACATTTGAAACAGTAAAAATTATACTTTTAAAATATACATTTAACCAGTCCAAGCAAGTCAATTTACAGTTTGATTTTTAGCGTTGCGTTTAAAATTTACCATTTTACTTTGTAAATATTGACGTTGCTTGTATTAGAAATTTACTAACTTTATTTTATACTTTTTACATATCATAAGATCATTTTTTAGGTACGAAATGATAAATATCAAAGTCTGAATTCTTAATTATTATACTTTAACATTTTAGACATTTACATAGCGAATATTGCTGTTTGAAATAGTATTTTCTTCCATGTAAAGAGTAAATTGTAACGTTTAAATGGTAAATATATTATATATTGAATAGTAAAATCACGATTTTACTGTTTGAAATGGTAATTTTTAGTAGTTGGTCATTACTTATTATAAATCGACTGTTATTTATTACAGTTTACTTTTTTCCGTGTATTGCTATTTAATTACTATAGTTATTATAAATATTATTCAATACAAAATCTTGGGTTAAATTTCAACATTAATCTCAACACAGAATAAATGTTAACAGACATTGATTAAGGTTCATTTTTTAACCGTCTAATGTCAATAAAATAATTTGTTTTTATTTGGACTTTTGATGATTAAATTCATTTCTATTGACTTTCAAAAGTTAATAAACATAACTTTATGAACTAGATTTATCTCACCAGTTGACGTTTAGTGTAAAATGAAGAAAAGACACGCTGGTGATACAAACTTAGTACTACTATTCAGAATTTAACACGAACTTTGTGTTAATTTTTAAGTAACACAAAAAAATACTACTTTAACACCCAAAAATCAACATCATAATTTTTAACACCGACTGCTTTCAACATTATTATTATTGTTAATATTAGCCAATTTTACAAATAATAATATTTAAAATAATAAAAATATACTTCTGTACGAAAAATTTTTTCGTTTATAAAAAAAATGTCCACATTTTTTACATCAATACGTCTCTGAATAACGACATGCATAAATTTAGAATGTTGACGACATATTCATTAGAACAAATGTAACCCATCATTTTTTATTATCGTTATTTTCACTACAGATACTGCTATTATTACAAACAAGACAATAAAATAAAATTTAAAAAGTACACACGAATGTCAATGTAATTAACGTGTATATACAGCATTGTTTGTACCTTCGAGTATGTTTACTTAATGGTTAAATAATGAAAATACATTTTTAAGAAGTAAAATAATGGGTATTGTTTTTTCTTAATAATATTTTATTATTATTAAGCTTAAGTTTTATTGAATTAAATTTTTTTATTTCTTTTATTTGTACTTATATCGTGGCTCAAGTAACGCGGCGAATTATACAACTATATATGTATAAGATAAGTAGATATAAATCTATTTGTATGAATAGAATATGCGCTGAGATGCTTTTCAGCAAAATCTATAAACTCACATATGCACATAATTTATACAGCTGTATGTATGTTTATATACGTATAGTAGGTATTCCATGTACGAGAATGAGAATTTACTTATATACATGTAGGTAATGCTTAGTATTTGCGGTAATAATACTATAGTAAACGAGATTAGTTTCTCTAATGGAAGGTGTTTAGTTTGTGGTAGGCAAATTATCTATTACCCTGATTTTTGTTTTCAAAATAAATCAAGTGAATAGTAATGTTAACCATTATGTTTACACAAATATAATAAATCGAGTTAATGTACAGAGTGTTCTATTATATTATTAATTATTGAGAGTTTAATATTAAATGTGCTCTCCAAAATGAATGAGGCATAAATAAACATATGTGAATCATCGTTGTAATTAAAGCACAAATATCCGTAGGTAATTTTTTAACACAACCAGATGTGCGAGGAAAATTAATCATTCACTGTATATATAGAGTATGTAGATTTATTAAAACTTGCCATAATCGGTTAAAAAATATGTTATTATATTACCATTCACTTATATTTAATGAAGGTGCTAGTAATTACATCATAATAGCACCAGAATTTTCAATAAATATTTCATTATAAACAGCGAACTTTCTATACAATATATCGTAGATAAATAAAACCAAAAATATTGTAAGTAATTTAGGGGTTTTTTCACTAAAATTTAATGATTTAAAATATTCATAAAACTTACTAAGAAAATCAAAAACAACAGAAAAATGTTAGGGATAGAAAAAAATTATCTTAAAAAATTACCTTATTTTAATCACGGTAATCATGGGACGTAATTACATGGCTTTACTTTTTGTTAGGAGCGGAAATAATTTTTTATGAATAATAGAGAAGTTTTGTAATGATAAACAAAGATATTTAAAAATTTTTATAACATTTTTATCTTCTCGGCGGCGGAATTATAATAATCACAATGATTATTGTTGAAAAATACAATTTCATAAAGATTTTTGCGATCGAAAAGTCGAAAATTAAAATTTTGACTTTTGATCAATAATTTTAAGGTAATGCGATAATTTTTCAGCACTGTTAAAATACCGTAAAAATTCACAATATAAAGTCGCTATTGTATAGTTTAAAATTGAGGAAGAATATTTTTACTACAGATATTAGAAGACTATTAGTTTCAGCGACTATTTTACCACTTTTAGATTACTGCACCATTGTTCTGTCAAATTCTACTTCAGAAAATAATTTGAAATTACAAAGAGCATTAAATTCTACCATCCGCTTCATCTTTAACTTATAAAGCGTGATGATCATGTGACCCCTTACAGACGTAGACTATAGGCTGGCTTTCTATCGCAAGTCGTAGAATTTATTATTTAGCCAATTATTTTTATAAATTACTCTCTGTAAATAAACCTTATTATCTACGTGAATTTTTCATAGAAGATGTAGATATTAGACGATCAAATCGTTTAGCTACTAAGAAAAACAATGTAAATTTTAAAATACCTAGCTTTACAACCACTCACTATAAAGATACAATTGTAATTACTGCTATACGTTTGTGGCAAGAACTTCCGTCTGATATTGTAAATGCGTCCAGTCTTGAGGTTTTCAAGAATAAAATTTTTGACTATTTGTTTAACCTTGATGTATAAAGAGAGTTCATAAACGTTTATAAGACTGTTAGAGAAATCGAAATCATAATTATTTTCTAAAATCGAAATCAGAGTACTTATAATATCTGTAAATTATTATTATTATTATTATTATTATTATTATTAATATTTTTAAATTTGTAATAAATTGTATTTCTTATTTTTACTTGCCTTGTAAATTATTGTTATTAATATTTTAAATTTGTAATTAATTGTATTTTTGTTATTTTTACTTGCCATTTGGCCAGCAGGCTTTGGCATGAATAAAAAAATAATCTAATCTAAAAAAAAAAGTCGCTATTGTGATAAGAGTGGATGAAAAGAATAGGAATGCCGGAGGAATAAAGAAAACTAAGCATAAAGAATCTTTAATAATATCAAATAGAACATCAAAATAATTATGACTTAAATATATGAATAATTCTGTGAAGAATACATGTCAGCATTAAATTTGAAAGATACGGTAATCAAATTAGCATATAATGAAATGAATAAATTTAGTAGGCAAATAATTAAAACAACGAGGTTTATATTTATATAAGAGATAAGTACTTGTTAATGTATATGGAAATAAATAAAACCGGAAAATAGTTAATGCTTGAGAATGAAGAAAACACAAAAGGTGTATAAAGGTCTGTAGTTGATGGAATACGGTTTTAGTACCTCTAGTATAGCTAAGGGTGGTAACATAAAATGTAAGGTGTGAAGAAAATCGAGGTAAAAGCGAGAATATTAGCGAAGATAGAGGACGGAGAATGAAGAAAAGTAAGTTGGGATAGCTGAAATAATATTTAAATGTTAACAAAGTGCTTAAATGCTAGTGCTAGTGTATATATATATATATATATATATATATATATATAATAGTACAGGGCTGGCTAAAGGGAATAGCCCAAAGCCAAAGAGACTAAGTTAAAGGAAGAGAGACAGCTAATACAGGAATGAAAAACCGAATACTTGAGCAAGAGGAAGTGAGACAGAAAAAGGAAATGCAGATCGTTTTATCGGTGTGGGAGTAAACTATACCCCTAGGGTGTTTCCGTTGTTTCCAGCAACGGGCGGTTTTAACGAGGTTCATCCCTCACTGGTTAACGTCGAGTGCTTTTCGTTTTCCCTTTACTTTTTTTTTTTTAATTTTTTTCCTTTTGTTTCGTTATTTTTTTTTCAATTATCAAGGATACAAGAGAGAGATAATATTGAATCTGGTAATTTTCCATTATGCTCGGTAAAAAACTCAACAAAACATGTTAATTAATTAATATGCGCCACGAAAAATAAAGAGAAAATAATCGGCAATAATTCAGCTATTAAATAAAAATTTCATTTATACACTCATGGAATAAACCAAAAAATTTTAACATATAAAACGATTAAATTCAATACGAAGTATCGAAACATCCCCAATAAAAGAAAAAAAGAAAAAACCTTATCATGAGGGTCCGTTAGTCTCCTGCTCGGGCGAATAGCATATAAATACCTTATCTTTGAAAGACTAAATTGACTCGTTTATCTTTGTACTGTCTTCGGATTTCTACAGTATAAAACTCGATCGAAATTCATTTCATTTTTTTTTGTAATTCATATATTAGTACTTGAATAACCAACGAAGAAGACATTTCCTTCGGAAGATTTTCGTGAAAAAATTTTCTGACATGACCATATATAAGTTGATGTGACTATGTCAGGCTACATATGAAAGTTAAAAAAAATCATTTATTATAATTTTTGAATTTTCTATTTTTCGTAAAATTGTGTACGTCAGTCAACATTTGGTATTAAACAAAAATTGGTTAAGTAGTTTGTTAAACTAAAAACTAATCCCAGATAAGCTGCTTAGAAGTCAAAAAAATAATTTTTATGTTATAACTTAATATCTCAAACTTAACTCTTGTTGGAAGAGAATTTAGCGACTATTTGCCCTCAGTTAAAAATTTTCAACACTATCTTTGGCCAGAAAATGATACATGGGCTGATATAATCATATCAGGTCTGACATGGTTATGTATGGACATGTCAAGTCATATCAGGATATATAAAAAAAAAAAGTTTGGAAAATCCAAAAGTGCACGACTCATAATGCTCATTTAATTATAAAATATTAAAAAAAAAAAAAAAAAAAAAAAAACATAAGTCGTTCAAAATTAGTTACCGAAAAAACAGCTGTACTAGGAAGGTACTGCACAAGCGCCTCTGGTGGAATAAATGTACATAATATCTATAGATATATCACCATCCATGTTAATTTTACATGGATATATATAGATATACAGTCTTGTAGTTTTCGTTTTTTATTAATTGTAATTAAACGACATTGAATTAATTAATCATTCGCATTCAGTGACCTACAATCATCGATTAGAATTAAAAAAAAAAAAATTTAACTCAAATAATGGATTTTTTCACAACTTACAGTGTTTTTTAGCGGGAAGTTAAAAATTTAACTCAAATAAATCATTTTTTCACAAGTTACAGTGTTTCCGGGGTTTCACACATGACGGACAGGAAAATTTTTTTGACCTATTTTGGTGTTTTTTCCAATTCTATTGCAGTAAATCAATTTTTAAAAAGTATGGAATTAATCTCCATTAAATTATCTCGACAATAGTATGCAAAATATCTTGATTCCGTGAACTAACAAGGCTATAATAATAAAAATAGCTAAGGTTGATGTTTTTGGCATCAATTTGTATCATCACCTATTAATTAGTGTTACGGTGTTAAAAAAAACGGTTGACCTTGTATCCCCCACTCTTAATTTAAATCATATGTCTTCTTATTCGCAGAAGGGGGCTCATGTATACATTATTACGACTAACCATTACTCTTACAACATTACAATGGTTTCTGATTGATTTCCTCCCACAAAAGCTCACACTGAGACTCCTAACGTTGAAAGGGTCAAGCAAATATAAGTATATATTAACATTTGCATATTGCCGCATCTAAATTGCAGCTACTCGTTAGGCTAAAGTATAATGATTATTAAATACAAAATAAACAACCAATTAATAATACAAAGGATATTTTTCAACAAACAAACGGTAATGTTTATATCGTCATACACGGAAAGAAATTTTCTTTAAAAATTACTGTTAAATTCACTGTAATCATGGGACATAATGCGGCGCTCTTATTTATAAGCATTTTTGAAATAAATAATACGAAAAAATTCATTTATATCACGGTAACCCTAGTAGAAATAATCAAGTTTTCACTCGATTCTAACCAGTAACTGGCAAGTCTAGTCGAACTGGCCAGTTAGTATCCAAAAACTTGATTTCATTTCTATTAGGGAAACTTCGCAAAATTTACTGAAAACCTAATAAAATTTACGGTAGACTGCGGTGAAATTCAGTCAAAAAAAGTTAAAAATTATCTCACTTACCTACAAATGATTAGGTCGTGCCATCCGCCCCACAATTACCATGGATTTAATGGTAATTTTGAAAGAAAATTTTTTTCAGTGTATATGCTATAGCATTGTGTTGAAAATAGCAACGATACTGTAGATGCAGTGATGTCAGGACATATTATATTTTGGATGCAAGGAAGGGTCAATTTTATGACCTGAGGTACTGTCGGTACTTTTGGGTTGCCAGCGGTTATAGTTAGTGTCAACTGAACTCCCGTGACGAACGGTCCACCTTTGTGTTATAATATTATCGAGTACCTACACTACTTAAATCTTTAATGTATTTGTTTGTGTATTCTAGAGTAGTTTATTATTAATAAAGACAATAAAGTGCAATAATATTTTTCTTTCATAAATCCTATATATTATATTATCTCAATCTTCCAGCCTCAAATTCCAATACATTGAAAATTTTACGAACGGATTTTACCGATTTTTTACGTATATAATATATTTGTTTATTTTATATTTATTTTATTGGACAATAAAAATTTGATGGAGATCGATAAACGAATTTTCAGGTCAAATACCACATATCCATTTTTTCCTTTTAACCGGAAAGATAAAAAATATTTATGATAAAACTATATTAATTAATTTCATATCACATATCACGTATTTCGACGCAAGTATTTATGCGTAAAAATATATTTTAAACGTCAAAATTTCTCTATAATAAATAGGTATGTATATAGCCATCGGGTAAACGCTGTCGTTGACGTGTGTGTTAGTGACGGTCACAAATTCCGAGAATCTACGTCAACGTTTCCGGGTTTTGGCTCTCGCCCGCGTTCATACCTATACCGGTGCACGTTTTCCATGACATTCGTCATCTAGTATGCCCATCACGGAAAATAGTCCGACATCTGAAATATAACTTGAACGAACCCGCGTTAACTCACTCACATATATATCTATATATATATATATATATACTGTAATAACAAAACCGAGGCATGTTCCATTTAAATTACTCACACGTTTACTTTGTCCTTTATCTAATCCCGGTTCAAATAAATTGGGAAATTTAACCGGCGAGCTGTTGAAACAAGTCCTACACTACCAACTTTTAGAACTACCAACTCTTAATACATAACATTCGCGTTACGGCCAACAGAAACTAAAGTATATAAAAAACAATCCAAATAAAGTTTCTACTAAAGTGCTAAAGATAAAAAAACAACCAAGGATTTCTTCATCAATGTGATTTTTATTTTTTTCATTTAAAATAAACAATCGTCGTTCCGTAGTTTCTTTTCAAACCCTTATATATCTTTATAAAGCACAAAAAATACCTGTGAAAAAATATATGATCATATATGCCCATGTATAATTTTTCGACCAAATGTAATATTGCAAATCTCCGATTAAGAGCGGATGATGGCTGAATCGTTTCCTTACAAGAAAGATACTAGTTTGACGAGTTAAATAACAAATCAAAAATCACTTTACTTACTCTTTGAAGGAGCGTAAAATGTCTGACATTGATTTTTAATTTAATCAAAACTATTAAAACAATTTTTATTTAACGCGATATGTTAATTGACGTGCATATTTTTAAAAAAATTAAAAAACTGAAAAATTATTT